ATTGCCCTGGTTTTTAATACATCTAATGAAGAATTTAGAGATCATGGTGCAGTGGTTACTGGCAGCGAGGATATGAAAGTAGAAATTATCACATCTAAGATAAAATTCAAACTCAAATTGCTAGTTGGGACCAAATTGGGGATGAGGGAGGGGGCTGGATAATTTCCATCCAAGAATACTAAAGGAGCTGACACATGAAATTCCAAGAAAAATAGTATGGATTTTTAATTAATCCAGAAACTTAGAAGGTGTACTTAGTCATTAAAGAATTGCTAATATAGCATGTATTTTTAAGAAATGGAAAAAAAAATCCAGGAAACTACTGGCCTGTTAGTTTAACCTTAACTATATGCAAGGTCTTAGAACCAATATTAAAAGACAAAGCAGTTAAGACTATAGACATAGCTGGGATAGAATACAAGATGGCTTTACAAAAGATAGAAGAAGCCAGACCAATGTAATCTCTTTCAGAAAAAAACGGATATTTTAGACGAAGGAAATGCAGAAGATCTAATCTACCTGGATTTTAGTATGGCATTTGGTATAGTTCCTCATGGAAAGTTACTAGTCAAATTGAAGAAGATAAGAATTAACTTGAGAATTGAAAACTGGATTAGGAACTGGTTGAAGGGGAGACTATGATGCATCATACTGAAAGGTGAATTATCAGGCAAGAGAGAGGCTACTAATGGAATTTGTCATCAGGTCTTACCTTTTGAAGCAAAGTCTCTGGACTTTGAAAGATACAAGCAAAAAACCCAGAAACCATCTTTGTCAGTTATCCCTAGACAGACAGAAAGGAACAGAGCTCTTGCAAGCTGAGAAAGATGGGCCCTTCACCAAAGGGTAGGAGTGGTGTAGAAGAAGGAGGTAGAACTTGAATTCTCTGAAAACTGAATAGAGGTGAGAAGCCTGCTTAGGCAATCTCTTTCACCTAAGACTACAAAGAAACCAGGATTTCAAGGCATTTGGAGGAAATCCTGACTGAGGGAGATCTGTCAGTCACCATTTTGCTGGAAGACTGTGGATAAGAAAATCCATCTCGCACAAAGCCTGTACCTTATTAGATTATATTTTAGACTTTTAGATGTGTATTTTTACTTTTATTTTTAAAGCCCTTTCTATCATTATTCCTTTTAGTTGGCATTACTTAGCCTGTGTGCTGTTTTTAACACATTTGTTTTATTTCTTACTACTGTATATGCCAAATCAGTGTTTTGTCTAAGGAACAAGCAAAACTTATTATTTCTTTGAACTATTCATCCAGGATGGGGCTGGACCCTGAAGAGCACACAGATAGGGGAAAATATGAGATGAAGAGTGTGTTGGAACCTGCTGATTGTAACCAAAGCTGGTAGAAGCTAGAGTGGGACTATAGACAATGTTGCCAGGGTCAGTGTTGCAGAATCAGAGTGGCTTATTACACAGACACTCAGGATGCGACCTTCATGCTTGTTGCTGATATGAATGTTACAGACTGGGACCTACAATAGCAAAGAACTGTGAGGTACTGAGGGTTGCAGGGTAAGGAGTGACAACCCCTCACTGGTCTGAATTGCATGTTGGATCCTGTGACAGTAGGCACTAGGAAAAATTATGCCATGGAGACACTCAAGCCCCTCTTTGAACACACAGATCTGATCAGGAAAATATGACATGAGCTAGGTATATGCTGTTAGAGAAAATGAGCTATGTTTCTAAAATCAAGTTGTTCCTTAGGCTATAGACACAGGTCCACACCTCCCATTAATTCCAAGTCTGAGTACCTGCAGTCATACAACTTTCCCCCATTCATGTCACCAGGAGTAACCATGCATCCCAGGGCAGTTTAGCTTTAAAATTTATTAAAAGCTTTTTTTATTGTGATTTTTTTGCAATGTCTGTTTTGTTTGTGAGAATTATATTTAGGCTAGAAATATTTCTACATAGAGAATTCTGCATCAAGAATAAAATGTAGCTTCACAGAATTTCTCTGAGCCCTATTCTACATTAACAATATTAATAAAACCGTGTACTTAGATTTCACATGTTATTATAGATCTCAACATATTGCACTGAGGCAGGCAACTTTTAATAGCTTAGTTTTGCAGATCCAGTTATTTAAAGTGACTTGGTCAAGATCACATAGAATGTCAGACTCAACCATTCCCATTCCCATGCCCTTCCTTGTTGACTATGTTTCCTCTCAGTGGATGTTCTCAATGAAAACAATGGAGATTAAGGAAATACTGCGTCAACTAGGACAGTAGATTTAATAATAATGAAAGCTCTTTCTATACTGTGATCTCCATTAAATAAACAACGATGGAGAAACCTCTGAAATATTATTCTAGAGAATAAAGTGGTTTCAAACGCTTTGATAAATTAAAAAAAAAATCCAATAAGCTTCTGGCTGTATAAAGTGATGAGATGTTTTGCAGAATCAATACTAAGCCAGAGTTGATCTTGGTCTTGTCCTTTGTTAGTTTCTCTCACTTTATGCAGGGGATTATTAATAATTCTATTTGGCACTTTCACAGTACTTTTGCATTTGTGAAATATTGTACTAACATTAGTTAATCCTGACAATACCCCTGAAAGTTAGACAGGTAATATTATCCACATTTTAGAAATAGGAGAACAAAGGTAGAGAGATTAAGTTATTTGCCCTGAGTATGGACAAATCTGTATCAAAACTAGGACTACTTGGGTCAGCACTCTGCTGAGAGCAAAGACCTACACCTAAGGTGATAGACTGCATGACACTCGGTCTTTTTTCTCTATTGCAGGTTGTTTCTAAAACCACTTTAATATTACAAGCCGGGGCCCTCTTCTCAGCCTATAGGAGACAAGCAACTTCCACTGATTTCAATTGAAATTACCCATACCCTGCGGGAAAAAAAAGCTGTGTATATTTCTCCACACTAACTACTGTTTGGATTAGTATACAAGTGATAAAAACAAGTTTCCCTTTCAGGATCTGATCTGGTTCCCACTGATTTCAGTAAGCACAGGACCAAACTTCAGATCACAAACATCTAACTTCATAAGAACATAAGAACGGCCATACTGGGTCACACCAAAGGTCCATCTAGCTCAGTATCCTGTCTACTGACAATGACCATTACCAGATGTCCCAGAGGGAAGAAACACAGGAGGTTATCATCACGTGATCCCTCCCCTGTCATCCATTTCCAGACAAACAGAGACTAGGGACACCATTCCTATTTATCCTAGCTAATAGTCATTGATTGATCTAACCTCAATGTCTATCTAGCTCTTTTTTGAACCTGTTAATGTCCTACTCTTCACTACATCCTCTGGCAAGGAGTTCCACAGGTTGATTATAAATTGTGGGTTAAGGAAGCAGTATCCTTGATTTCTTCTGTAGACGCAAGATGGGAGGAGGCACAATAGGTTTGTGAATAAAGAATTAATTGAAAAACTTAACAGAAACTCATAGAATGTCCTACATATGCATAGCTTATTCTCCGATAGGGGAAGAATGGGGCTTCAGATTCTTTAAACTGGGAATCCAAGAGAACAATACTTTTGTGCGGTAATATAACCAATACAGCACACAATATTTCATGAATGCTTATATTCTAACATCACCACCTCTTTTTGTATCCTTGTTCCTTTGCTGATGCAGCTTTTTTCTTATTGATTGTTCTTTACTTTTGCTACTGGCTTTAATTAATTTTATACTACAACCCCACGATCTTTTCCTAATCAGGATGCTGGATGATAGATCCATTCAGCACATATTCCCTAGGCTGGCTCCTTACTCCTTGATTAATTATTTTCCATTTGCTTACATAGAAATCCGCTAGATATTGCCTACTCAATCACTGAAAAGAGTCACATATTTCTGCACTAGTTTGCATTGACCTATATGTTATTTGCTTTGGCTTCAGAAATTTTGCAAGGGAAAGTTCCCAGTGGGGAGGCCACAGTTGCACAAAGTATGTACAATTCTCCTATGCTGCAGAAGGACTGGGAGCTAGAGTGGCATATAAAGTAGGTGCAGTTTTGCCTCCATTGGTAGTAATCTGGTGTTGTCTCATTGATAGGAATCTTGTCACAATTTTAAACCATGTCTGCCCCCCAAACTGTGTGAGACCAAACAGAGGGTGGACGTAGAAATATTTAACTTTTGATCCCTTGCTAAACCAAATAGCTTTCAGCTCTTCTTATTACAATTTTCTATCCAGCACTGTTAATATCTTATCCCATGGCTCCCTTAGCCTTCAATTTCTAATGTGCAATTCTGGAAAGTCTATGTTTTCCAAAATTCCTGTATTTTTTCTACAAAACTCTCATTGACCTCTGGTCCTTGAATCACTCCTCCTTGATCAAACTGTGCTTTTAAGGGTATTTTTCCCTAAGCACCCCTTTTAGTTTACAATTTAGCAGTCTAGACAGAAGTCCTAAATATACCCAACAAAATGCAAAACTACCCCAAAAGAGAAAACGCTACCAAACCACCCCTTAAGATTGTAATTAATTTGGAAATATGAATGAAGAATTTTATTAAGGTAACATTAATATTTTGAATAAAAGTAGGCCCACTTTTGAACTATGGTAGCTTTGTATAGAAAATATGCAGAAATCCACATTTTTAACATTTTTATTGCAAAAGTAATACTCTCAGATGAGTTTCACATAAAAGAAAATCTTGGAGAGCTTCACATGAAATGGTGAAAAAATTCCTTGTAAACTTCAAGAGTAGAAACTGATTTTTGCACAACTCAAAGGGGAAAATCTTGGCCACAATGAAATCAATGGGATGCATGTCATCAATTTCAGTGGTGCTCTTAGTTTATTTTTCCTGTGGGTTTTTTTAAACTTAAAAAAAAAGAAAATTTAATCTAAAGAGTTTAGGAAAAATTACAGCTCCACAATTTCCTAGCGTACTACCTTTAGAACTCTGGTTACATATTATCCAGATCTAATTCTCAGTCTATTTTAAGTGCCTCTAATCTTATTTAGCATCGTTATCTAAGAGATAATATCTGTACCTAGCTCCTCCTCTGTCGTCCCTGGAAAACTGATCCCCGACTTGAGCAGATCGCCACCCTCTTCCTCTGTAAAGACAGAAACAAAGTAACTATTTAATAATTCTGATATTTCCATATTCCTGGTTAGAAACTCTCCATTCATTTTTAAATGACTTACCGTTCTGTATGTGCTGATTGGTATGTGCAAGGATGAGGGGAGACAAAGGGATTTTAAATGCTTAAATATTTAGTGGCCTTTTTGCTTCTCTAAATTTATTTTCATGCTTTTTGTTTGGTTCGGTAACATTCTCACCTGGGCAGACACCTCGTATCAATAAGTGCCTTTTGTTTATCTTGCATGTTGCTTTTTCCAACTCTGCTTAGTTGCATTGATTTCTGGTGCCCTTTTAAGGTTTTTTAAGTTACTTTGGAAAGAATTCTTATTATAACTGCTCCACCCATGTCTTAAATACTTCCCATTTTTCTCTGCTTATTTTGCTGCTATACATGATTTTCAGGCTATATTCTTTCACTTGCAACTTAATCGTTTGAAGTCTACATGGATAAAACCCATAACTTTGTGTTTGTGACTTTTCTGCCATTTTAGTTCTATTCTCTTTTCCACCACAGACTTCTTGAGCAAGTCCCTCAAATTTATTGGGCCTTAATAGTAAAATAATTCCCTACTTCACAGAGATATTGTGAGGATAAAAACATAAACATTTTTAAGGTGCTCAGAAACTACAGTAACAAAGCATATACGCATGTATAATTATCATTACATTCTTTATTTTTTTTCTTAGTCATATCCCTTTTTTGGTCTTATTCTTCACTTTTTTCTGACATAATTCCCAGGAAATTCTGAAAGTCAAGACATTGTTTTGTTGTATTCCTCCCCATAAACCAGTTTTTAATCAAAACTACAAGTAGTACAAAGGTAGAAGAGTGTGTGGAAGCGAAGGGGGAGATACTTTCTGACTCCCACTGCATAGGCAACAGGGAAATGGTGTACATATTTTCAGGGAACAAAATACAGTGACATACTGGGCTTCTCTAAACTATTTTTTGTTGAGTTGTAACCTGAGTGAGCTGATTTCCAATTAACTCACATTCAGGAACACAACTGTTATTGTTAGGTGACCATTCACACTTTTTGAAATAGACTACAAATTAGGCCACACTAGCTTTTCAAGTATCAAGCTTAAATAGTACCACATCAGGTACGTAGATTGTGAGGTTTGACTTACAACGAAAATAAAATGACAGTTTTTGCAGATTTCAGTGCTGTATTTAATAAATGTATACACCCTGTACATTTCTTGGCCAAGTAAATTTTCTAGTCTGCAGTTTTCAGTTGTCTTGTCATGTGAACTGATTTCCATTTAACTCAAATTAAATAACACGGTTGAAAATGTTAATTTAGACACTCAAAAATATTTGTTCCTGGTCATGCTTCACCCTAGGCTTCAGCTAATAAAATTGATTTTTACAAGAGTGAGAAGTTAATGGAAAATAAATCCAAAAAACATTTTAAAACTTTCAGAAAAATGTAATATTTGTTGCCACATTTATCAAAGCTAAATAAACTTTTTCGTTCACATACAAACTCCTAGAAATCTAGTCAGTCAAGCCATCTCATACAATTTTTAAAAAATGACTGGCACATGTATTCAAATTAAATTTCATTTGGAGAGGTAATGGACAACTCTAATTGAATATGAGCACAAATTAGGCAGTTTCCATGGAGACTGTGTCTATGTGATCTATATGAGTCTGTGTAACTCATAAATGCAGCCTCTAATTCAGCTATATTAGAGTTTGAAATCAAAAGGAAGGCATCACAAAAATAAAGTCCCCCCCCCCCAACATCTTTAAATTCTTGCCAATAGTTAGCAATATTACAGGAAAGCTGGTGAAAAAGCTTTCCTTTAAGACAGCAATTTTGTGCACGTAGCTATATTTTGAAATCACAAATGATGCACCCATCCAGAATCATCTACATCTTCATCAAAAAAGGAAACAGAAATATAACTTCTCCCATGCTGGAAGTCTGTAAAATTCATATTTAGTCAAACCAAAACCACACTAAACCTGTATGAAAAATTATGAAAAGATCCTTCATAAGTTTGACATATTTTAGAGAGAGAAGGAAAATAACACTTCTAATTTAATTATTTTCCCAACTGCTCTTGCTCGGTGTGGAGGGATGGCTGCTACATGAAAGAAAGGAGATGAAGAAGATGAAAAAGTTCAAGAGGTCAGAGAAAAGATGTTAAAAGGATGGCCCAATGTTATTGTACAGGATCAAGATTCTGGAGACAATGTTTTTGATTTTGGCTCTGAAAAATGATTTCCTGTTTAACCTTGAAAAGGTTATTTATTCTCTCTGTGCATCAGTTCCCCATTTGTAAAATGAAAATAATAAGCCTTCCCTACCTTACAAGTCCCTTGTAAGAATAAACTCCTTACTGCTCAAGATGCATTCCACTAGTACAATGCACGGCCATAGAACTGCTATAAGAGCAATATTCTGCCTTGAATGGTGGCCAGTACTTCCGAGCAATGCATAATACTCATGTAAAACATGCTGAACTTTAACTCTGCTGGATGGGGGGGGAGTGGGGAGCAGTATTTCCCAGTGATCAGTTTATGGCCAAAGCATTAGGAGTAATTCTAATTTTTTATCATAAATTTATAACTATTCACATGTAACATCAGTGCCTACATCTTTTTTCCCTCAAATAGCTAGTGTCATTTTAGACAGCCTTTGAATAAATTCAATTAATGTATTCAGCACTGATGAAGCATAAGTTAATCTAAGGTCTCAGTGACTATTGTGGCATTACATGGATAATCTTTGACTAAAGTTCTTAAATGAGTACTCCAACATACTGTAATTCCTTGAACAAAGGCATCGATGTCTTTTGTTTGATCTGGTTAGATTTTTCCCACAAATAATCATTTTTATTATTGACTAACAAATTAAAATAATCTTTCATTCATTAGTGTTTTTCCTAGTCAATGGTTATGAAGCAGGGCAGATTGTGTTGAATGCTCATAGCATTCTTGGGTCACTCTAGGATTCTTCTATGATTCTAGTGCCACAAAATATTTGCACCCTAGCATCTGTTACTTTCCTTATCTTAGAGCATAGATCAAAATTGTGCCAGCAGCCCCACCGCCTGCAGTGGCAGCAATGCCAGAGGATTGGAAAGCAACAGCTTTAGAAGGCAATGCTAAACTTCATGGTGAATTACTTGATGAAGGATAAAGTGCAAGAGCTTAGAGGGAAAAAAAGATATTGACAATAAAGGTGAGATTATGAAAATAGGATGATTTGCATTTTAAAGATTTGAATAATGTAAAGAACTCACATTCTGCAGACAATAGATACAATTACCCTTTCAAGTGCACACATTAGAACATTATAGATTAATATAAAGTGATGTCCAAAGTCTGAACACAACACTCCTGTTGAGTTCATTGGGAGTTGTATGTGAGCCACATGGGGAAAATGACAGGCTAAAAAATGCCTGGATGTCTATTTGCTTTTGTGAAAGCTGAATTTCTAATAGAGGCCCTGATGCATTAATCCATGAAAGCATCCAAGCCTCAGACATGAGTTGTCTATTCCGGCTGAACTCTGCTTGGTGTAGGAATTGGGGCTCAGTGAGTTGAGGGTGCTTACTTTATGTTCCCCATATCTTGGAACCAGCCTGTGGAAAGTTCAGCCCGCAGTACAGGTTAAAGCAGTCGCAGCTCAGCTCTAAGTAGATCTCCCCTGTCTGTCTATTGTCCAAGGGGTTGTTTCATCAGACAGAAAGAGCCTCAGCACTTTAGCTACACTTTAATGTTTTTGGATTAAAAAATATGCTCTTAAATGCTGCTTAGAAAGTAAATTGTAAAATAATATGTTAGTGGACATGTGCCCTGATCCCTTCCTTCCTTTATTACAGCAACTGCCTGAACTTAGGAATCATCGATTAGGGTTGCCAGATACTTTCACAAAAAATCCTGAACATGGCGGGGGAAAAAAATTGGTTGAGAAAAAAAAAGGTTGCTGCGCCTTTAAATTCCCGCGCTCCCTGTTCCCTCCGCCCACACCAGATGCGGCAGGGGCCTTCCGTCCAAGAAAAACAGACATTTTATATGTCTGATATTTTCTGGATTTTTTTTACCGGACAAAACTGACAGAAGACGCAATTACCGGGCGAAAACCGGACACCTAGCAACCCTATCAGAGGACACCTGGCTACCCTATCACAGATTCACCTATCATACCCACTCTGTTCATAGAGTATGCAGCTCCCTCTCCCATTGGTCCAGGGGTGGGCAAAAGGGCCTCCATGGGCCAGATCCAACCAAGTGGGTAGATCTGACCTGCAGAGGCCCTGTCATTCCTGACTCCCAGGCCAATTCGGGCCTGGGGGTTGGGAGAGCATGCAATGTTTCCTCCACCCTGCCCCCGTCCTGCGAGGAGATGTGGTAATTAGAAGGACCATGCACTCCTGGCAGAGCGGGAGGAGGTTTTGAACACTCTCCTGCCCCCAAGGCCAATCAGTGCCTGGGAGCAGGGGGAGTGCACAAAGTTTCCTCTGCCCTGCCCCCAACCTTAAAGGAGCATGTAGCGCTTAGAAGCACAAAACGCTCCTGCCAGGGCCATGGCTGGAGAAGCAGGGAAGTATCCTGTCCCTGCCCCTTCCGCTTGAGGCCCTGCCCATTCCAGTGCAGCCTGGGGCCACTTCAAAAAATTCTGAAGTGGTCCCTAGCAAAAAAATTATTGCCCACCCGTGCATTGAGTCAACCATGGCACCCCTTGTATCCTTCCATGGTACAAGCTCTCAATCCAAGTACAGTTAATGATCCCTTTTCCTCATTGACACCCCTTGTAACAGTGCTTTTCAACAAGGCTCATAATCGCTATCACAGTGCTGCATGGGAGATAGAGAGACTGAGCTAAAATTAATATCAAACTTAATAAATACACTAAAATTAATAAACTGAGTTATCAGGCTCCTATGGGTCTCCTAATGCATCTTTTCCTATCTGTCTCTCTCATTTAGTTTGTGTACTCCTTAGGCAAGTGT